AGGGGCGTCGGCTGCACCGTGCTCTCAATCAGGTCGGCATCCAGATCCACCAGGACAAAGTCATCTGACGGCAATTCGACCTTCTCGTATCGACGCTCGATGCCTACGATGTACGGACAGGGGGCCTCCAGAGCCTGGATCAACCGTGCCGGCAGCACGGGAATCAGCACGCCGGTCCACTGGAGCGGGAACAGCAGGTCGACCAGGGCTCGGGTGGCCAGGTAGAGCATCGACGTGTGGGACGAGAGGAAGATGATGCGCGACTCGGTAAGAGCGTATTCGAACAGGATGATGATGTTCGACAGGGACAGCGTCCGGAATAACGCATAGAGATCCGTGTTTCTGGAACCGGGCAGCTCATTGGCTGCCTCCTTGCGTGCGAAGAGGCGCAGCTCCCGAACGGCCAGCTCGACCTGCGTCTTGGACGAGTTGGGGCTGAATGCCTCGGTGCACAGGTTCATCACGTATCGCTCCAATGGTTGCCAGACACCCATGCGCGGCGAGCTGGGAGGGACTCGCTGAACACCGCCGTCGGTCATGGGCACAATGATGGCCTTCAACCACTCCTTCCAGAAGCTCGTCATGTTCTCCTCGCGCCCCAAAATACCATATGCGCGGGGGATCCAGAAACCGGTTTCTCCGTCGGTCAGCCCTTCGATCTTTGACGCGGCTCCGTGACGCACCGGTCGTAGCAGATCGGTCATCAATCCAATCTTCTCCTCCACAGCGCTGATCTCATCCTCCAACTGTTCTCTCGACTCCGACCCGGACGCTACGGTGGGAAGCTGCGCCAGGAGTCGTGACAGCTTGGCCCGCTCGGAGGCCAGCCGTTCCCCAAGACTCGCCGCCAGCTCTCGCTCCTCGTCCGTCATGTTCTCTTTCCTCCACTCTTCACAGCGCTTCTCTAACTCTTCGGCCGCTCGTTGGTTCAGAGGGATCCAGATGATCACGCAGATTGCATGCAGTCGCGACCCGTTGTCAGTCGTCATGGTAAACCCATGCCACGTGGATCGAGGCCGCTGGTCGGAAGACACGATATTGATGTCATTGGGAAAGGCAAACATCGGCACATAATCCGGGAAGTTTCCGCGCTGCTTCAGCTCCTCCGTCATACCTTTTGTTGGGTATCGATCGAGAAGAACGGGCTCAAATCTCCGTTTCAGGGGGTGCATTGTGGGGGAGAATTCTAGGGGCTGCGGAGCGGGGATAACAGAGTTGTAATTGCTGAGACGCCGTGAAGTACGAATGGAAGCTGTCAAGAAAAGAATAGAGCTTAGTTTATTGTCAACGCAGATTGGTCGAGTATGGCGAATGTCGCCGAATATGTACTTACCCTGACGGGCAACCGAAGGCTGCCGCTTCATACTGTTCATATCCCGAAAGGCCATGTGTCGTCGTACGCTACCGATTCCAGATCGTAGTAAGCTCGACGGCTGGGACGGTGTCTCGTCCGAGGTGATCTTCTGAGTGCGCAACCGAGACCGAGGGCGTGATGCGGGCGTGATGGCCCCTGCACTGAGACTCAGGTCGGACAGGAACGAGTCTCTTTCGGATGCAAACTTGAAGAGCGCCTTGTCGAAGTCAAAGTCCTCCAGAAACGACGAGCCCCGAGGGGATTGTGCACCCTTGATCGTCAAGCTGCTCCGATTGCTGTTGGAGCCGTTCGCATTCGCCTCGGCGGAGTTCTCCGAGCGCATAGAGAATCGCTGGAACGAGTTACGGCCGGGCAAAGTCGAATTGGGCCTCGAGAGCCCGTCCAGACGGGGGTCGTGAGCCTCCTCAGCGTCGGCATCCTCCTCAATGGTATCTGTGAGAGCGGGACCGGGAGAAGTGGCGCTGTTGGCCCTATATTCATCCCCCAACCTTCGGAAGGTTTCTAGAATCTCCGTGCCATCCACGCCAGCTATCCAGAAGTAATCCGCGAGAGGCGTGGTTGACACCTCCGGGGTGGAAGAGTAAGGCATAATTTTTTGGGTCGGATGAGGGGGTGATGAGCTTGCTAGCAGGTGGATGATCGTTCAATTCGTCACAAAATCTACCGTGTATTTTATCGTCATCACATGAAGCCAAAAAAAAAAATAAAAAATAAAAAATAAAAAATAAAAAAATAGAACTGAAAAAGCAAGTGTCAACTGCGACCTTGAGCACGAAACCAGCGCCAATGGGGGAGGGTGGCTTCAACGATCAGGACCTTCGGGATCAATAGGGAGGGAATCGTGGTGGAGACGAGGACGCATAAGTAGAGAAGAATTGCGACAATGGTCGCGGGATAGGCAGGACAACCTTGCTGGAAGGATGAGCCCTTCAGGTATATGAAATCGGAACAGAAGAAGCAAAGAAAGATGAGATGAGTGCGGAGAGAGAAAATGCAGTGAGATTGAAGAGGGGAAAGGGGGAAAAATTGGGAATGCGTGGAGAAATTGATCTACTCCTGCATGCAAAGCACTAGAGGGGGGAGGGGGGTGGAAAAGGAGTCTAGTAGATAGTCATAGTATCTAGCAGTGAAGGGCAGATGATTAATATATATCTACTAACTAATAATGAAGAAAGGAGAATAACAGAACAATAGTGATAGCTACTAAGAAAGAAGCTCACCTCTCCTGACCTTCTTTCTTCGCTTTTCTTTTCTTTTGCGATACCTCCATGGCTTTCCATCCAGTAGACTGATACTACAATACGGTCCTTCTACCACTCCATCTCCGGCCGTGTTTTGCCCCTCTACTAGCTCTACCTGCCCGTTTCTTCCTGTCTTTGCTCTCTCCAGTCTCCGGTCTACGTTTTCTTTGGTTCGATCACTCCAATGGTTCCAGTCTACACTCCTCCGCTCCGCTGTGCACACGCACACTCAGGCGAACAGAACCGTCCATGCACTTGAGTCTAGTCCAACACTAGGATGACGGGTATACCCACTTCTAGCTGCGCAACTGGTGGCTGCTTATGATATTTTACTCTGTTATCTGCGAGGGAGAAGGTATTATGAGGTAATCGACGATCAAAAAACGGCTATCAGCAGAAACTGGCGACTGAGGAGAGTATCGACAAACGATGTTCATTGGAAAGGCAGGAAATTTTTTCCACGGAAAAGGAATAGAAAAGGAAAAAGAAAAGAAAGAGGCAGGGCACAAAGGAACGGGAACCAACGTGCAGACGAAACTGCGATGCCTCGTTGGAGCCATTGATTTCGACCGCACCAATGCAGGAGAGACAGCCATAATTTCGAAGGATCCAGGGCGCTGTACCGAACTCCTGCGGCCTGCAGGTTGACTTGGATACTGTAAATTCAAGGAGGTAAGGTAAATCAACATATTAATTATTTGCGTTCAATTATTTTTTGTCGCGCTAAAACAATTCTGGTGACACATTCACGTACTTTAATCCAGCCTCTCCACCGATAATTTCTGCCACGGATATGCCATGACAGACCGTTTTTCATACTCTTCGACCAGGTCGGAGAACATATCTCAAATCTATACAGAGTATGACCTCAGTACTGTACCGAGTAACTAGTTTGTCGAAACTCGCGATCAACGTTAGGAATAACCTACCGGGAGTTGTCAATGTTCGGATCCAGTGGGGAGCATATCACCGAGTGGATTGCCAGTGAGCAACCCCTGCCTATCAAAATTCTAAAACAATATCTCTGGTTCTCTGGTACTTGAACGGCTGGAGAGACGCACTACTGTCCGGACTGGAAGTGATCAACATCAGATGTAACCTTTTCGGTTGTGGTGACCGGTGGACTGGCAACTAACTCCCTTGCTTGATATCAGCATTTGGCTGTTAACCTCCCCACCATCAGGAATCTTCCAGTCGTCAAGTACTTTCCTACCTCAGCTTCGGCAACGACTCGGCGTTTAGAGTCTCGAACTGTACAGAATCCGGGATTTTCAGCTAACCTACGTCCGAGTGCCTAGATAGAACAGTCTGGCCTCTGATGACATGCTGGATGATTGGATAGGGGAATTGACCCTCCCAACCAGTGCAACAACATAATCGAAGCAAATGGCACATGGTGGATATCTCGAGGTTATGATTCCGACTGCAAAGGATAATCCCTCGCCTAGTAAATACTTCAAGATGTAAGTACGTAGATCTTACGGTGTGTCAAGACCCAACGTAGAAAATGTGGGTTTCCTACCGAGGCTGCAATATTCTTGTGTGGAGTACTATGAATAATTATTCATAACGCTGAGTGCATAACATTTGACCATCAAAGCATAGGCATTGGTTGGCTTTGAACATGTTCACACGCCTGTAACCAGCCCTCGGCAACAGATCCTGATGCTGGTCGCATCACCAGATGTGGACAATTCCGGGGCTGGTTTCTTCATCCTGGCCCAGCCATGGAGCACCACCGTGGTCTTGACGCAGGGGGTGCAAGGAGGAGGAGTAGGGATTTCTGCAGCTAACCAGCCTCGTCTACGGAGGGCGCACTAAGGTACCGAACTGACTGCTTAAGACTTACAGTACTATGTCCATCATCCATGAGGTTTTGATGCTGTTCGGTGCTGAGGTTGGCACTTGGCAGTTCTGTTTCACGTTTCCCAATCGGGAACCCAGAACCAAGGACCTTCTTATGTTGGTAAGTACCGGACATCCTCGTTATCGTTCTCAAGTTCAACTCTATATCGGTTTTATCTTGACTGCCAGCATGCAATGCATTGTGATCTGACACGGTGCTACCGTGACTCCCTCTCAGGTATTCTCGAGACATGATCTCAAAACCACCCATGATTGTTTCATCCCATCGAATTGGGCCCCTTATCACGCGCTCTCCTCTGCATGTCTCAAATCCCGAGCCCTGACGGTGACAGCCTTAAGAACGCCACTGTACTCCACCTTGCAGATGCCACATTCTTTAGGCCAACCCTATCATCGATCAGCGATGTATCTACAAAGTACACTTTGTTAGGATATGAACCGTACACACCAAATTCACACCACAGAGGACGGTAAGAATCTAACTCTATACTCTCCAACAACTCCAGTTGCGTGAAGCTTCAGTGCTCACTAAGAGCTTGCCAAGATCGAAAAGCCTCAAGAAAACCCGGCTGTCGTCGACCGACCTTCCTTTCATACCCATATTCATATTCGCATTCGGCGCCGTCTCCCAACAACTCCTCACCTTCTTTCAAGTCCAGAATTGGGATCATAGAAGGCCGTCCATGGGCGCACTGAAAAGGCAGCACGCATCGCGCCAGTCGACCTATAAGACTTTTGCACTCCTCGGCCGTCAGGGCATCGTTGAACATGATTGCTGTTCTGCATGCCCGAGAGTTCAGCAAGTCAATAATCCCTTGAGGGCAACTCTTGAGTCGTTCCACCCAACTGTCCTCGGTCTCACACCCCGACTCGTCCCGATGTATGCTCAAAGCACCCCCTCCGTTCTCCTCGTGTTTCCATAGCTCGCCGCGGATCAAGTCGCTGACCAGGTTGGGTTCTACTCGACACCGCTCTGCAATCAGCGTGGGAAGTGAATGCACATCAACGAGGGCAGTTCTGGCTGATGATTTTCGCTCAACAGTGTAACCAACACCCCAAGATGCAAAAAAGTCTGCATGCTTTCCAAAAAGAGTGGCTTCCATTAGCGGAATATCAAAAGTAATAGGGTCAATCCTGATGGTTTGAACTTGACGATGACCATCAACGAACATTTCTCCAAAAAGGCTCTCAATCCGACATCGTTCATCCGCAGCATGTTGATCAATCAAGACCAGGGCCGACCGTGAGCTATGGCCATCAGCGAGCTTTGCGAGGATAAACTTTTGATCCACCTGTGCAATGATGTTGGCCGTCGCTAGGTGACTCTTGCGTAACCGGCCTCGGAATTGTGCCAATCCCAAATCTTCCAATCCGCAAGTGTCTCCCGAGCCGTCAAACGGCCGAATGAGGCCCTTATCACCCGTATTTACGTGACTTTCACCATCGCCAATCGCGGTTATGGGTCTTTCCGGCCGACTGAACGCTGGGTTTTCCCATCTCCTCAGGAGGGTCTCAATCCAGATATTATGACTTTTGCTTGAGATTGCCGACCTTGGCCTTGACCTTTCGAGCGCCCGCAGTGTCTGAAATGGTCCGGCAGATCGGGGGCGCTCGTCGACTGTAAATGCAGTAGGTCGTGATCTAACGTTGATTGCTTGGCCCGTTCTTGTATTTATCAAATGAGTACGTCCAGTATGGGGGTCAGTCCACGGTCTCGACGCATCAACATCCGACCCGTCATTTTCAGTAATCTGCAGGTTGCTACCGGCCGACGAATCATCTGTTTCTAGACAAATTGACAACGATTCTCTATCGCGGTACTCCGAAGCAGGCCTTGAATGCACTTTCTTCCACCCATCGGCCAATTCATGCTTACCGGCAGGCGGTTCTCTCGCACATTTGACCCTAGACCACGTCGTAAAATCCGATGTAGTGTTCATTGACGTCGGTCTGTGAAAGGTCGGCAGCTTCAACTGGCCTGCCAAGGCTTCTTCGACAATGGAAGATTTGTTGCGTGAAAACGCCGATTTCGCAAGACTGGATCCGCCAGCCCCTGGCGACTCAAAGTTCATTGACCTCTGAGACGCACCTTTCATTTGTCGCCCTGCACGTGGTCGTAGACCCTGTTGTTTCAAGAACTCGCTTATCATGGCCGCAAGCACATCAATAAGACGCTGGACGGACTGGTTTGACTCCGGTACCACCTCATGGCCTTCCTCGTAGAGTTCTCCAGGATCATCGACGTCTATGCGAATGTAGAACATCGGCCATTTGTTCACTGCCTTGCTTGTAGACCTAGGGCCGGGGTTTCTGTCGCTGCTTACAGGGGCCGCTTCAACCGCACCAAAATCGGACAAAGCAAACAAACGGTTGATTTCACTATAGAGCAGGTCCGTGCTGTTGCGCGGGTAGACTGGATCGATCCCCATGGAGATAAACTGAACCTTCTTCGTGGGGCTCGGCATAAGGGATACAGCGGCGTGCAACGACACCCCAGGGACGCATGCCGACACCGAGTTCCAGCTACCAGAGTTCTGCGACTCAATCAGGCCGGCCTGCATGAGTATAGAAGCGATGCGTTGGATATCCAAGTCTCCCCTTTTCTCTTGACGCCCAGCGTGCGAGCGAATCGTAACCTTCCTCTCTTTTCCAGCAGTTGAGATCACCAGTTTAGTGAGATGGTCACTTGCCAACATCAAAGAAACGAGTAGTCGCCGGAGGCCATCCCACTGCCGCTCAAATTCGTCGGGTTTCTGAAGGGCTAGGGCCCGACTTTTCACGCGTACGGGTATATTGCCAAACAAGTCATTAACAGTAACGCACGTCCCATGACCGCTGGAACTCAACTGATGCGATGATGGTGCTGGTATCCAGCGGGCGATTGGAGTCGAATGATGAAAAATGACACTATTGGTGCTGTTGTGGCGGAAATGTTGTGAGGTCACCGTCAATAGTGAAAGAGAAGCCACAGAAGCGAGGAATAGCCCTCTACGACCGTAGACAGCTCTTGCTGAATGTAACTTCGAGGTATCTGTATGAGAAGGTGAGCGAGAAGACAACTAACAGGAGCGAGGCCCACGTACGATGCGCTTTCCCTATTCCTCCATCCGACTCAAATTCGGCCGGGGGTATCCCATCACCGTCGTCCTCAACCACACATCCCCCGCGGTGAAAATCAACCGTTACGGAGACCGTATGTGCATTTGCATCCAGCGCATTCTTGACGAGTTCAACAACCACTCGATTTAGATCGGTAATAGAAGTTGAAGATTTAATCTTCGCCACAACTTCGGGTGGTAGTGGCTCTATTCTGCTGTCCTCTGAAGACATGACAGAAGTAGGAGAAATTTCAGTCGATGTTTTCAAGCGAAACAGGCTGTCTTCACATGATTATAGCATTGAATGGCCCTTGGCCAATCTTGAGAAGTAGTTGCCACCAGAGTGGCATATGAAACTCCGTTAGACTCTGAGGTAGCATCGGACCTAGAGTAAAGACAGCAACTGCACCAGAGATTTAGTTTCATGAATCAGGAGCGACTGATCAGAGTCGTTTCCATGCTTGTTGTCTAAGTCTGGAAGAGTTGTTAAGAGGGAACTACTGCAGTTGATGAAAACTGTCACGTGATATATTACGTGTTATGCCTGGCGGCAGCCTATGTTGTCTGGTGCCCAGAACTATATAGCTACTGGACTTCGAGGGATGTGTTATGTCGCCCTCACAGGCTTGTGTGCTAAGTCTTCGTGAATCCGGCCTCTTCATGCGGTCCCATACAGGCGCAAGGAATAGTTAGGGTAAAAAAAAAAAAACAACTTGCCATAGTGACAGTGTTCCTAATGTACCTTCCAATATCCCATAATCATCCATATTCCCTAGTTGGAATGCCTTTTCCACACTTAGAATGCATGGTCTAACCTATACAATTCCTTTGCCTCGAATAATTCAACGACACGCGCTGCGATCTTCACCATCGTCTTCAAGGGGGAAACAAATCCCTTGAGGAACAAAACTAATGAGGTTGCCCACCATAGGTCCAGCAAACTAAGGCCACTTCAGTTGAATGACTGGTGGTTTATTCTGTTTTCCTTCTTACGCAGAATGTGATATACGACACTTGACAATGGCGAGAAGAGTAATAATACTTCTGCTAAGACACCCAGGATCCCCCAGTCTGAAAACATCATATAATCCAGGTGAACTTGGCGCAGATTGTGGGCCACCTCTAATGCTTTTCCTGCTTATTTCCCTACTTTCCCTAGAAACGGGCTGGCGGGCAAATATGAAAGTTCTGTTAATTGGTAAAGAGCTATCTTCGCTCACATCTCAGCTTGAATACAGCCAATTCGAGTCAGCATGAGGTGGGAGGAGAGGAGAATCGGCAGGGCAGGTTGGTTTGGGCTTGAGGCAGGAATCACGTGCAGGCAGTCATCCCCTTGGGACTCCTGACAGCATTGTAGACGCAGCCAGCATTTACCCAGCCATTTTATTCTCTTACCTCCCTTGGTTTAATTTGCTCCTTTCATTCCTCCGTCTTCGTTTTCTTCTTCTGCAGTACCAAAGCTTATTCTCGGTCAGTTGGCAATCCGACGAGCTGTGGTGCCATACTTCAGCGTCGACCTCTGTTTCGGTGATTTGCGGCTTATCTGATTGCCCGATTCGTCCCTCTGTTACTAACTCACCTGTATCGCGACCTCCTTTATTCGGCATTGATTGGCAACATCGATTATCTGGAAATACTCAACTCTAACCATTCCCGTGCAATTACTTGCAGATTGTTACGCGGCCAGGATGGCCACAGCTGAGGTGCCTACGCGGAGTCATGGTTCGTCTTCGCAAGCATTGTGCCCCTCATGAGACAACCCCAAATTGACTTGACGATAGTTCGCAGCGGACGTCGCCACCCGTTCTCTAGCTGGATGAAGAGACTTACCAGTCTGAAGGGATCCTCGACGGATTCCAGCACAATTCGCTGGTCCCATAAACGCCATGACTCTCACAAGAACAAGAGAAACAACACCAAGAACAACCCTTACCCGCTCTCCGGTACTACGAACGTTGCCGGTGAATACAGCAGCGATTTCGTCTCTTCGGTCTCGGATACAGATGCTGCCAATGGGCCACGATCGTGCTCATATAGTGAACCTTCCATTGCCTGTTCCGGATACGACAATCAGCTGCCTGCGACAAGTGCAAAGTCGACGGCCCCGACCATCTCAACGAACGGTGACACGGCCATCTCCGAGGCAGCATACTCCAAGGCAGGAACGATGGCTACAGCAGGAGGAGGGATCAGCTCTCGCGGCGGAGGCGAAGGAAGTACCTTCTCGTCGCCCGCGCCGTCGGTCCGTTCGTTGACCACTACCCTAACTACCGTGCAGTCCGCCGCGCCGTCTACCCACTTCTACAACGTGCAAAGTACACATCAGGGTCTAGCGCATGCGAACTCGACGCACAGCACAGCGAATCAACAAGTACAATTCTCCCAGCCATTTCCTTCCTCCCCTGCGACCGCGGTACCATCCCACCTTGCCCCTCACGGCCAGCCTCATACCTACAGCACTGCAACTGCCAACAATATTCTCACTGACAACGCATCCATCCTCACTCTGGCTTCGTCTTCAAAACGTCGCCGCAGGAACTCGCTGGATACAAACGCATCGGTCCGCGCTCTGGCGCCGTCCTCGGTATTTGGTGGTAGTCGCGAGAGTCTGCCTCTGAGCGTGCTCAGTGCAAATGTTGGAGAGCCATCCAACACGTCCACGTTCAATACACCCGGAATACTCAATCGTCCCAGCATGGTGGGCCTCGCTAGCGCTGAGCGGATTAGTGTATACTCAGCGTCCGGTGCGATCGCGAGCGGCGAGCGAGCGAGCTACCATAACAAACCAAATCCAGGCACGGGAGATGGTGCAAGCGTGAAGAGCGCAGCGTATTCGCACAGTCGCAACGACAGTTATGCGGCGAGCATCTCGGGCGGGATGGGTGTCGCGATCGCCAGCGGGTCCGTCAGTCAGCCCATGACGGGGAGGATCAGTCGTCGCAGCTCGGGATGGGGTGAGATAAATGGTGATGAAGGCGACCAGGAGAAAGAAGACAAGGAAGAGAGGCCAGCAGGATTGAAGGAGGAGGATTCCTTTGATGCCATGCCTGAAGGGACGACTGAAACGACAACGACCGCGACGACAAAGAATTGATGACGCCGACCATGATATGACTTTATACACAGGAGAGTCTGCCGTGAGCTACGCAACGAAGTTACGCAAGATAACTGCATGACACAGTGGGTTAGAATACTATCACTGTTTTTTTGCTTTGCTATTTTTTTTTTCTTTTTTCCCGTGCGAGGGAAGGATGGAGGTCTGTCTGCTTGGGATGGGAGTCATACACCTTAACCTGGGAGTTTGGGGTGTTTATTTGGTTATTTGTATCTACGGAGTAGGTATACCTTGATTGTTGGATGCATGGACACTATTGATATCCCGCTGGTATTGTTTAGCATGATTAACTTTATTTCATTATTTCTTGCTAGTTGACACTTGACTGCGTATGTATACCTGCAGTTTAAGTTTAGTACCTAGTGCTTAATACGTAGTGCTTAATGCGTCGTGCTTGATGTGTATACTAACGTCAATTCTCAATTTGCGAATGATGGTCACAATCGTAACCGTAGAAATATCATGAAACTCAGGAGAAATGTCAAAAGTATTGACAGCGTGGCGCTGGAAGGAAGCTTCAAGTGCATCCGACGATCACTCTCAGCAATGGCAATGTTTGACCCCTGAAGGTCACCAATGCAAGCTCAGTGGCTGAAATGCGGCAGAATCAGGATTCGGCGACAGCACCAAAGTGAGTTAAGGGTCCAAGCCAAATTATTAGAAGCCAGAAGGTGGACCAGCACATGCTTTCTACCGAGTACTCTCCAGAGTCCCATTGCCGTGGGTGATCATATTATCATTAATTCGGGATGATTGATTGATGGATTCGATTCACCTGAGCCAAGAACAGTGCGGGTCTCTCCATTAGCAGAAAAAATAAACACCTTCCACCCGAGGTTACTTCTTATTTCTGTCCTCTCGTTCAACTATTGCGGCCTCCAGAATTTCCTTAAGGGCCTTTTGATTGGATAAGTGTTACCATGAAAGAGCATCATCGTCGACGTGTCGCGGTGGTGGGCACAGGGATGGCAGGTTTGACGGCGGCCTACCTGTTACACCATGATCCACAGCAACGGTTCCAAGTGCGACTAATTGACAAGGTAGATATTACTAAGGTTCATAAGACAAAAATTCATCTGTCACTGACGATGAATAGAGAGATCAAATTTCTCTGAGTGCGGAATCGATACCAATCCCCTGCTCGGACCCAGGGGTTAGCAAATCAGTATGGGCCGACGTGCCGATGCGCGCCTTTGCCGGCGGCTTCTATCGCAATCTCATTCGCATGTATGACTATCTGGGAGTTCGATATCACTCGCAACCGTTTGTTTTTAGCTTCTCTCGGCTGTCTTCGCGACGACGACAGCAGCAGCAGCAGCAGCAGCAGGAGGAAGAGCCGTATATGGTGCATACTTCCAACTTCCACCAGCTGTCGCCGTTACTCCCTCGCAAGGGAGACGTTTTCCAGTGGCTTATCGAAGCCGTATTTGCACTTTTGTGCTATCTGTGGTTCATCTTGTGTTGCTTTCTTGTCACTCCGAAAGAAGATGAATCGTTCGACCACTATCTTCGCCGCATTTATCTGCCGCAGTACTACAACGCCAATTACCTCTTGCCGCTGATTTCGAGCGTCTGTACTTGCTCGCACGAGGAGCTGCTCCAGTTTCCTGCAGTGGATGTGCTCGCATACAAGAGGCTCACTCATCGCCAACCGCACTACGTCGTGACAGATGGGGTCCGCGAGGTCCAGGTCACGCTCCTGCGTGGGCTAGACGTGCGGCTTGGTGTCGAGTCGACCAAAGTCACGCCGAGACCGAACGGAGTTGAACTCACGTACCGCACAGCGGACAGCAAGGCGCAGGAAACCACCGAATCGTTCGACCTGGTTGTTCTGGCTGTATCCCCGGACGTCGTGGCGCACATCTTCGAGCCCTTGGCATCTAGTCTGGGCGAGGTTCCGACGACCACGGTGAAGACGGTGGCGCATACGGATTTTGCCAATCTCCCGCAGGTCGGGATGGGAGTCAAGCCAAAATTTTCGGTTTCCAGTGAAGCCGGAGCCCCCCAGCACATTTATCTCCGCTCCAACGCGTCCACCACGGAATCAGTCCACGTGCAGCCAAACTCGGTCCTTGTCACGACAAACCCGCTAACACCTATCCATGAAACCAAAGTCATTCAATCGGCGTCATTTACGCGCGTGCTGCGAAGTCCGCAGAGCCGGCGGCTGATCAATCGCGTTTTTGACAAAGAAAGCAGGCACGCTGATTCTAAGGCAGTCAACTGGCGCAGTGGTGATAACGGCGTGTATCTAGCGGGAGGATGGTGCTGGGATGGAATGGTGCTCTTGGAGGGATGCATTGTATCAGCGATGCGAGTGGCAGCCGACCTGGGGGTGGAAGTCCCATGGGAAAGATGAGGGTCGAAACATGAGTCTAACGTGAGATGACTGCATGTACATAGTAGTAATTCTGTGAAACCGATGACGGATACTAGCATATATATATATATATATGACACGAATAATGGGATTAAGCGACTGCTAATAATTGAATTTGGGTCCGTCCTGGCCCCGCGGCATCTTTGTTTACCACACGTACATCAACTGCTGCTTCTAATCTCCTCATACGTATCCATTCCCAACACAAAACTCGCCATGAACCCCATCACTTGGTTTCTCGGTCTTATTCAACACCTCTGGAAATTCATCTTCAAACAGCGTGACAAAAACCTCTACAGCCTAGACCATGCAATCCTCCACGTCCAGACTCCCCCGCCAAGCCTGTGGATGAACATGGGGTATTGGAAGGTAGATAGCCACTCTCATGCTCTGTCCCGATTTCCACATTTTCACGAGAGATATATAGAATGAAACCACCCTCGCGGGCGCCGCTCAAGCCCTTCTAGACCAAGTCCTCATCGCTGCCGGTCTGGTGGACCCGTCTGGGCGACCGGTCCCTCACCCGCCGCAGCGCAGGTTCAACCTCCTGGACGTAGGCATCGGCTGCGGCGACCAGTCGCTCCATCTGCTTAACACAGCGCGACTCCCTCGAGTGGTCCCAGGTGATGACCATGATGACAGCGCAACCGCCCGTCCACTGCCCCTGTTCGATGCCTACGTCGGCGTCACCATCGCCCCTGCACAGGCGGAGATGGCACGGCAACGGGTTCGATCGCAGCTGGAGGAGGCTGCTACCTCGCCGTCCAAAGCAGAGATCTTCTGCGCCGATGCCGCAGATCCGTTCTCCTGGAGTATCCAGATGAAAGACGCCCTGCGCGGTATGATCGTCTCCTCCGAGGAGAACGGACTGTATTCCGACAACTGGGTCCTGGCCCTCGACATGTTGTACCATCTGCGCCCGTCGAGGCGTCCACTGATCAGCTACGCCTGCCGGGATCTCCGCGCGTCGTTGATGGCGTTTGACCTCCTACTGTCTGAGAACGCATCGCTGTGGGAGCGGCTGATGCTCCGGCTCGTGTGCATGGTTACGGGCACGCCGTTCTCGAATTTCCTGACCAGGGCCGAGTACGAGGATCTGCTCGTCGGCGCCGGGTATGGGCGCGACTGCGTGCAGATGCGCGATCTCTCGGACCATGTCTTTGCGGGGCTGGCGGGTTTCATTGCGCGCAAGGATGAGGAACTGCGCCGGTTTGGGATGACCGTGGGCAAGTTCCGGGGGGCAGGGGCTGTGTTTGGCTGGTGGGCCAGGAGTGGCGTGGTTCGGGGAACGGTGATTATTGCGAAGAGACAGGGTCTATAGTCTGAAAACTGCTCTTGTACATTACACATATCTATTTCTCTAGTCACAAGCAACCAGCATTTCTTGTACGTCCCCCGAATGAGCTGCCGTCCATGAGACCACAACCAAGAAACAACACACCACGTCCCAGCTGACGCTACTCACGGCCGGATGCTCGGACATGGCGCTTAGGAGTCGTCGCCAAAGCGACCCTTCCACTGTCGCGGTCAAAGCATATGTAGACTGCGCCACCAGAACCACCAAAATCGCAAACAACCACTTGAAAACCCTCGCATACCGTCTGGCAGCCACAGCCACCGGCTGACTCTTCCCCCATCCCCTAGGCAGCATACCTGGCGACAGAGCCCCGGGGACAAACAGCAACAGGTGCGGAATCAGCAGCACAGGCATAAAGTAGCTCGTGTGCGCGACCAAGGGGACGACCGCCGCACTGAGCAGCGAGATCAGCACCGGTCCGAGCTCAAACAGCGCCGGCGGCACCCATAGCGTCCCGTTCGCACGGGAGTCGTCACCAGTGCGAGAAGTAGACTGAGACTGGCGCGGGAGCGAGACCACCACCGTGGCGGCGAAGAGACTCTGCGCGAAGGAAATAGCAACGACCTGGCCGAGGAGCATATACGTCCAAACACGGGGGATGTTGAACCGACGACCTATTATCCATCACATTAGAAGCTTGATGCTGTTTGGGGCGGCGCAGAAAGCAAAATACCCATAACTCCCAGAAAGATACTCCACGCAATCGTAAACAGGAAAATCTGTCCGCTCCACCAATGCCGCTCCGGTGTCTCGGAGACAGTCTCCCACGCCTGTTTGAACAACTTCGTGTCGCGCAGCCACAGTTCCCCTTTCATGGGGAGAGAGGCGCGCTCGAGGTCATGCAACTGGGCGAGGGTGCACTGGCCCCGCCATGAGCGGTAGGAATGAGCGAAGAAAGCAAACATGTAGAACCATGTCGAAGCTAGACTGGCGCAGGCCAGAAGAATGAACAGGACGAGTTTGTGGGAATGTTTGCTCTGCCATTGGACGTTGGATTTACAGGTCTGGTAGCGATTGTAGATGGTGAGGCATGCGTGGCCGGCCAGGGCGGAGGCCAGACTCAGGTAGAAGATGAGGATGGGAAGTGAGTGGTATTCTTGCAACATATTGACGGTAATTCTGCTATAATCCTGGCACGCGAAAACCTACTGAGGTGGGATTCGTTGCTATCATGACAGGATGTTTGAGGTCTGAGGTGATTTAAATACGGACAAAGGATGCCGTGCATAAGCTGGTGGGCCTCGATCATTGTCATACTAGTGCACACCGTACATAGCACTTAGAGTCTCGACTATACTCAACTATTCAACTGGGTATAAAAGTTCTATCCATACAATCGAGAAGAATTAAGTAAAAGTTGAATTGCGTTCTAAATGGAATCTCTCCAGCGGGGCTCGCTGATAAACAGACACATTAACATATCGTCAATCATAAAAGACTCGCTCATCCACCCTTGGCTCCGTGAGACGCCTTCCACATTGCCTCCAAATAATGATCAACCAGATACTGGTTCAATAATATAAACAGAGAAGCTGTGATAAAATAACGGGAAATAATATATTCGACACTTTCACTTTGGTCTTTTTTTACTTTTTTTTTCCGATTTAGCTCTGCTCACGCAGTGCCGACACCGATCTTGGACTCGGAACTACTCCGTTCAGCATCGGCCTTCTGAGAGGAGAGGAATTTCTTGAACATGTTGGCAATGTCGGTCTCGGATTTCTTGGTCTCCTCCGCCGACTTGCCGTTCTTCTCAGTGATCAGGTTCTTCAGCCATTGATTCTCCAGCTCTAGCGCGGTCACGCGGGCTTCAAGAGCGGCATTCTTCTCGGTGGTCTCCTTGACGGTCTTTTCCAACGCTTGTTCCCGGAGCTTCTTCTTGACCCGGAATCGCGCGCTAGCAGCCGTGTTCCGGCGACGCTTGTCCTCCTCCGCGGCAATGCGGGCAGCCTCCTCCACACTGATAGGGGGCGCCTTTTGCGTGTTCTTGCGCTTGGGTCCCGCCGCAGTCGTTGCAGAGGCAGCAGGAGCAGCTACTGGGCTGGTAGCTGGAGCGGTAGGCGATGTTGCAGACGAACTAGACTGACTCGGACTGGCGCTGGCGTTGAAGGGTGCACTTGAAATCCCCGAAGGGATTGATGGGATCTTTGAAAATTGAGTATTTTGAATCGGAACCTGAGAGTTGATCGAGTTCAAGTTGGCTGCGGGAAAATCGGGCATGTTGCCGAAACCATCTAGGAGTGTGAAATTAGCCGCAGGCCATAACTAATCAGATAAACAGCGCTCCAAAAGCCAAGCTGGGCGACACAAGTGAAGGGAACCATTGCGGGATAAGACAACACTGAAGCAATTGGGATCCATGGAAGCGTGCTGGTACACTCATGCCAGATGAATGCAACGAGAATGGTGATGATAAGAGGTCACGTGAGATCGCGCCATAGTCGACCCCGTTCACGACAACGCTAAATTGCAAATTTGATGCAGGAAGCACATAACCTTTTTTAAGATAGCCGCGCAAAGACAGGGGGAAAAGGTTCATGCAGACAGGGGTGGCTTTAGGTGCTTTGCTCATCTAATGATGGCCCGTGCAACGGATTTCGCGAACCGCAACTTTGTGCCTACCAATGATCCAAAAGGATCATGCAAGATATCACGAGTTGCATGAGAGAATGAGGGGAAGAAGAAGCAAAAATGACTGAGCACAATTGACAGTCATAGCATATTGACCATGTGAAATGAACAGGGGTCAAGTCTTCAAGTACTTGTGTGGGGAACAATGGCGCCATATGTCCAGCATGGAATGAAGAAAAGCATCAGACCACTAGAAGTAGATTTCACTCACCCCCTAGAAGATCCAGAAACTCCATATCGGGATTGTGGGTGGTATGTCCTCCATTCTGCTGTTCCGTTGTCTTCGCACTGTCTTCATTTATGGCATCAAACGTAGGCAGGTTGAGATCTCCGAGTTTGTCGAAATCGAAGAACTCGGTATTTGTGAACAACGAGAGTTCAGCATCAAGATTGAAAGTATCTTGTCTCTGTTGCTGCTGCAAAGCCTGGTCGTACGGCGAGGGAATGGCATTCAAGTCGTCGATGTATTGGGAGAAGTTGGGCGCACGGCGGCCGTTGTAACCGGACATGATGTATCTGTGAGGCTAAGCCTCTATCAAGTTCTCGAGACAAATCGAGTAGTAGCTGTTGGCTGTCTTCCTTTGCGTTTCGTTTAGATGATGCCTTGTGAGAGTGACAATACGCAGGAACCGATGGCTCGTCTATGTGACTCCGCCGAATCGATCCGAGAAGATGTCGTAGCACTTGTCAGATGTGCTCGAATATCACGTCGAGGTCGAATTGACTGTGGATAAGGGTCCGAAGATGAAAGAGTAGAAGAGAGAGGAACGAAGGGACCAGTCGATAATGAATAATACTCACGGTAGAATGCGGGACATCGGGGAGGTGGGTGGGAATTTGCGCACGGTGGGGTGGATGATTAATCCGGCGGAAGCAAGTCAACGCTCTTGAAGATGAATGGTCAAAGCGATCCGATCACGATGATTAAAAATCAAACAAGGGTTTCACAGCTGGCATTTTGACAAAACCAAACGACTAATTTATTGATGCTTGATAGTATTCATTCATTTACCATGTCCCTTCTGCAGCAACAACACAAAGCATACTCTGTCTAAAATATACAACTGAATACCTTCCCTGGAATCACCTTCGTCTTGACAATGAACAACATTGAGGTAAAACTTTCTTTGTCTCGCCACTGTGCCTCATTGACTTTCCGTATCGAGAAAGGATTACATCGCACCAGAGTCATCTTTTTCGGCGACCGAGATCGGAGTCAACCGGTTTTTAAAACGCCTCGAACCAGGCTCTGTCCAATCTCCGGAACCATTATTTCACAATGAAGTATACGAATGGCGGTAATCTCTTAAAAAGGTATCAGCTATGATTCTCAACCTGCTTTTTGTCAATGCACTCTACTACTATGGTCCGTATGCTATGTCTGAGTAAGTCTGTAGCGGTTTCCCTGCTGAAAAAGCCTGTGTTCAGTGTGACTGCTGAATGCTGAGCCGCTCACTCCTTCACAATCACAAGGAAACAGATTCCCGCACATTAATAATCAGCCTGCCTTATCTCGTATTCCTTTCCCTTGTGCGTTGGTGGTTGGCTCCAAAGCCTCAACGATTTTTTGGGTTTAGTCTTTTTTGTTCATGACGCGCTTTGCGCATGAATCTCAGTTGCAGTCCTAGCCATGACCCTTGCAACCATACTCTGTGGTAGCTCATGATGCCGCAGATAAGCTACCCTACGTCTGTAGACTTCCCTTGGCCTTTTTCCTAGTTTCTTCAGTTTGTGTCCGTGCACTATGTGTGGGTGTGCATCACTATTAGTAATAATACTGCCTACTTGCTTACTAACTTATCTTACAAGGTGTAAAGTAACTTATCGCCACGTGACCTCATTTGCTTTGTTTATTCTGATTCCATCTTGTGAGTTGGCCTTGCGGTCGCAATCCAGCTCTCACCAAGGAATTGCGCTCCATTGTCATGTAACTCAGCCTCATTGATTATGCTTCGACTATAGAGTAAAGTCGATCGTTCAATCAATCGCACAATGGCGCGTCCAAAGTCTATCCGTGCACCAACAGCCGCCAGTCTACCCAACACTCTCCGCATCCCCTCCTCGACCCCGTCTCTCATAAAGTCATTCTCTCGGCTATCCCGTCAGGCTCTTCTGGACCTTGTGTTTCAATGGCTCGATGATCGCAACGCGCAATTGTTTCCACCGTATCTTGAGCAAGACGAAGCCGAGAACCCCGACCACGATGAACTCAGCCCGTACCCGGCCGCCGAATCGATCGAGGATGTGCGGAACGCTTACCAGGATTTACAAGATAGGAAGGGCGGCAAACGCGAGGTGATTGATCGTATATTGGAGGGCGACTGGCGACATGGTATTACTTTGCGCCAGCTGGCAATGGTGGACATCCGGTATATGGAAGACCATCCAGCAAGTCTGCGATGGACAGCATTTGAACTCAGTCGCATTGGCATGGACGGACCTCAATCCGCAGGAGCAACAGCGCCTGACGTTTCGGCATGTCTACCGCGCATTCATGCCGCTACTTTCCTGAGTAACCTTCAGCAGCAGATTTCTCCCTTGGTGAAAGCGCATTACCATCTCGTCCGCTCGTCCTCGCTTCCGCTCTCATTTCTGCGCATCTTAGTGACCAATTCTCCATACCAAAACCCTCGCCAGCCACCTGAGGCTCTGACGGACTCATCGCGAGTGATGTACGTGGCTTTCCCCGACAGTTGCCCATTCATCTACACGTCCATAGCAGCATCGCCTGTCGCAAAATCAACTGTATCCACCAACCATGCCGTCGCAACCGATGCTCGGAGTCTGCATCGCATTGTACGAGACGCTTTACCCAAAGCATTATCGCGGCCACAAGAGCGATATGCTTTAAGAGCGACCTCTCTGACAGCGAAGAATCTGCAAGCTTTGCTGGCGCTCCGCGGTCCCGGAAGATCCAACGCGGCCAATGGGGCGTTCAGTATATTCGCCGACGCAGTACTCGAAGGGAGTCCCTTGGACCCACGTCCGTCGGACACGATTCCTCCAGAAGAGCACTTCCACCAAGACTCAGCCCTAGGCAAGGAGAACGAAAACCAGGAGTACAGCAGCACGAGCAAAGAGACGGAGCCTACTTCCCATATCGCCAAGAAGCGCAAATTAGCCGTTCACTCTCGTTTTGGCACGTCGGGAACCCTCTCGTCTGCCCCTCTGGACCGCCTTGACGTGCGCCTGCTTGATGCGGCGAACGACGAGGATGACCAACATGATGTGGACCGCACGCAGCCAACAGTATCACTCACCTTTGCCGGCTCGGACGTCATCAGCGGTATCCGCAAGCTTGCCGAACTGGGCGTTGTTGAGCCGGAGCGTATGCCGTCATGGATGACAGGTGAAGAAGCTGTCAGCGTAGCTGTTGTTCATCGAGGAAAGCGGATAATCAAAGATGGTTGACGGTAGCAGCTAGTCTCCAGAATCTTGATAGCTAACTAGCGAATTACCCAGAGGGGGGATCACGCTGGTACCCCTCCCCCGATGCAACTGCCGCGGAGCAGTAACGCGGCCAGCGAAAAACAGCCGTACAGAACCCAAGACTTCGTGTACGTCCATGACACTGAACATTGGACGTGTGGAGACATCAAGATCGATAGCGCAGGCACAGACGATTACCTGGCAAGCTCTTGATGTACTGCGACTAGGCGAGCAGGACGAGCTTGATCCGAGCCTGATAAGGTCAATGGACAAATATACTGCACATCTACGAGTTACACAGCTACACAGGGGTGCATCGGACAGCAAACGATGTATCATTGGAATACATCAAGCAACACAAATACAGATAGGGGTATATAGCAATCTAGACCAATCCAAAACCCAGTGACCGACGCCCTTGCACCATGTAGCACACAAACTCATTACTATCGCGAACGCCACGACCTACGCGACCCATAATAGGACGATACCGGGGAAGCCCAGGGCCGATAATATGTTGAAGAGTCTATCACCAAGCGTTAATGATTAGCAACCTTTCCAAGAGACAAAGAACCAGACGAAGGGGACAAGTACAGGGACGGTCTCGTACCGCGTTCGCCAGGCATGCCGAGCAGATGCCCCACATTGACATAACCTTCTTCGTTGATGTATCCGTCCTTGGCGAGCTGTTTTAGATCCAGTTCGCTACTACCGGTCTCCCATGCAGAACGGCTAGACGAGAGTCAGTATATCTCCACACTCGTTGTCTCAGGTAGTAGAACCCACCAGTAAACGCAACGAACCCCCTGCGCATTCTGTGTTGCAGCCCATTGCTGGAAACAGGCCTTGTGGATGTTATTCCCGCATGCTGCGCGGCACCAGACGATCTCGTCTTTCTCTGGCTCGAGTTCCATGAAGCAGATGGGACAGTCTCCTTCGATCGGCTTGCGCTTGCCGTTGTTGTCCTCCGATTGTTCTTTTTGGCTGCTGAGGGGTGATGACTGGTACATTTCACGGAGTTCCTGCATGGATATTGTGTAAGTAAACTTATACAATTATGTCCTTGGCGTGAACTCTTACCGAGGATAAGAATGCCAGCTGATACTGTAGATGTTCCGGGGCTTTCAGAGCGTTTATTAGGACTTGATAGGCCATAGTGATTAGTGACCGTACGGATAGAATAAAGATATAACGCGAATGACGAGGGACTAAGGGTCACAATGTTGATGAGATGCGTCCACATACCGTAAAATATGTGCTTGCACTGATTGCCTTTACCTCCATCCGGACAGTCGCAGGAAGGCACCTTCCCAATGACAATGTTGTACAGATTCCCAGTCGTCCCCGCCATTTTAAACACGACTTCGGGCGCATCGTCGACCTCGGTGACCCAATGTTCCACGACGCACATCCTGCTCAATGGCCGGGTCAGTGAAAAGTCGCATGAAAGCAGAATAGCCAAGTCCTACCTCTGGGTTCGGGCCCGCATCATCCTATCCATTATACACTTGGGCGCTTGCTTACGGAAAGGCCTAGCGCGTCGCTCGGGAGTCGGCTCGCCAGGAAGGCGCTTCTTGGGGCTCCGAGTCTTCTTGGTTGGGGTCGTGACGGGTGAATGTACAGTCAAGTCGATCACTTCGACGGAGCCAGTTGAGGCTGCAGAGTTGGTATTCACTCGTCTCCGAACTTTTTTTACTGGAGTCGTCAATAATTTGACCTCATCATCGGCAGTCCGCTTTCTCTTAGTTGTTGGTCGTGTATTGTTGGGCGTGCTCGCGCCGTAAACTCGACGTGCCGCCGGCGAGGAGCTGGTGATTGTTTGACGAGATGTTGTTATCCGTGTACTCCCCATATTGACTAGCAGCACGAGCCACGTATACAGAGACTTGAAAGACGGGAAAATGGGATAGGAGTTGGTAGACTGATCTGAGCTGCTGTGGCGTTCGACAAGTTGATAGATTTGTTTGGAGCAGACGCGACCTGGAACGCTGACATAATCATATCCATCAATTGGCGAAAAATGGACGTAAACCTGATACTGAGTTGATTATTTTGATATTGCACCTTGAATCTTTGAATAGTCTCTCCTTTGTGCCTATCTAGAATACTTCAACAGCCGGTCGTTGAGACACAACGGCGTAGGTATATCATCATCATATGTGGAGGTTTGCTGGGTTTGTGTACTTTGTCCTGTTTGCTGGCAGCGATAAGTTATCAAGATAGTGATAACAAGGAGGCACAGCATTCATGCCAAATATTTCGAGATTGAGGGGATTTTTTTTTACCATTCTTCCTTTCTTGGAGCTCTCATATATCGACGGACCTTGCCCACAGCATTTCCAACCGTCGATGGCCTGAAATATGACCTGGATATGCTCATCTGTTATATTTTGACTGTTGTAAGAGGTAAATCTGTAGATAAGAGACTGCTATACCTTTTTAGGAAGGCTTATGTAACCCCACATGACTACATCCACGGCCAAACAGATGATTGTTGTTGGTGTTATTGAACGATTCTTCATGGTATGATAGACTGAAGGTATAATTCCTTCAGTGTAGACTTATGGCTCGCCCGCGAGGCTACTCGGGCGCTGATAGCTCCAAGGAACCCCATGCGGTCTCCCTAAAAGGTATGCACTATTGACATTTCAACTGACGCTACCTCTCGCTGATCCAACCTCAGTATTGCGGTAAGCCGATCTCAAAGAAGCGTTCGGCTATCATCACATGCTAACCAAGTAAGGCTGTCACGGCCTTCACTATCCAACCAATATCCCCTCCCGGCTGCAAACACCAAGATCTCAAGTAAAGCATCCCTGAGCTATCCATCCGACAGTACCGATGACAAGTTCATCCTTAGTCCCAACGTAAGCTCTCATCTCCTTCCACCAAGCAGAAGCTAACAATGCCGCAGCTGACTTTGCCCCCCTCCTTTGGGTCGGCATACGTCGGGGAGACATTCGCCTGCACGCTCAGCGCCAACAATGAGCTCCCGGATGACGAGACCTCGCGCGTCGTCACGTCCGTCCGCATCGTCGCGGAAATGCAGACTCCATCCCAGGTAGCCTCGCTAGACCTGGAACCAGCGGACGATCCGGCCCAGACGGAAGGCCTGCAAAAGGGGCAGTCCCTGCAGAAAATCGTGCGCTTCGACCTCAAAGAAGAGGGGAACCACATCCTAGCCGTCAGCATCAGCTACACCGAGACGCTGATCGGCTCCGACGCGCAGGCTGCCAGCGGCCGGGTCAGGACATTCCGCAAACTGTACCAATTTGTCGCTCAGCCGTGTCTCAGTGTCAGGACGAAATCCTCGGAGCTGGCTCCGTTGGAGGTGGAGAATAAGTCGTTGGGACCGTATGGGAAAACCCGGCTTCTGCGATTCGCTCTGGAAGCACAGTTGGAGAATGTGGGGGATGGCACCGTGGTCGTCAAGGTTTGTGGGCAAGATATTTTACCGGATTATATCATTTCTGACTGCAAGAACAGCAAACGAAACTCAATCCCAAACCGCCCTTCAAAGCCGTTTCCTTGAACTGGGACCTGGAGAGGCCGGACAAGGCCGACTGCCAGCCGCCCATGCTGAACCCACGGGATGTACTGCAGGTTGCATTCTTAGTTGAGCAGGAAGAAGGCCAGCAAGAGGGACTCGAAGCTTTGCAAAAGGACCTGAGACGAGATGGCAGGGCCGTCCTGGGCCAACTTTCAATTGAATGGAGGGGTGCTATGGGGGACAAGGGGTTCTTGACTACCGGAAATTTGTTGACAAGGAGGCGATCCTAAGGAAATCTTAGTTCTTAATCACCTTTGTAATAATTGTTCGTTGCCGAAACCAAGTTTAAGAAGCGAAATCATGGCGTTTGAGCGCTGCACAATGACGCTTGGTATTCTCAACCTCGCGGTGAGATCCTTTACATTGCTCAAGGTAGGTATAGAGATAGGAGAGTGTCGAAGTAAGAAGTAGACAGATAAGAGCTAAATGAATAAGATCAATAGATTGATTGACCTAGAGAACCTATGAATATATACAGTACAGTACAATGCCTTTCCTCCCGCCGTATGCGATCCATATCCATTTCCAACCAGGTATCACAGATTCCAACCAAGTTTCCTTTCCATGATGTAGCCCAATCCAGTAAATCAATCAATATAGTAAAACAGTTCCTCGCGACGAATTGACGTTCCAGCATCCACAACCAAGGGGTATCTATTCCTGTTTTCTGTAGCCTCCGGAGCCGTGAGGCTCAGTGTAGTAGGGGTCTAATCCCAGAGCACCTGTGCTATGCACACTTTTGATATCCCGAGGGTACTCCAAATCAATCCGGTCGCTTTCTCAGAACGCTCGCAAGAAGAAAATGAGAGCAAGAATTTTTGAGATTACAAATGCCGCCCGAGATATTAGAAGTATCGACAACGAAGGTACGGATCAAATAAGCGATGGCATCGTATAAAGCATGAACGAAGGTAATCAAGATCTGATCGATCAAAAGTCGTAAAGTCGTAAGATAAGCTCACTGGCCGTCAGTACGGCCGTAATCAGCATGAAAAAAAAAGTATATGGCTAATAGAATTAACCATTTGTAGCGACCGACTTGGCCTTGGAAGGATGAGTCCAAGCGAAGAGGTCAAATTTGTCCTTGGCGTTCTCCATGATAGAAGAGGCGCTAGACTCTGACTGCAAAGTCGGCCGCGGCGTGATCTCGCGCGGCTCCAGAATGAGAGAGCGACGATAGAAAGTCTGCAGGCTCTTTTCGCCGTTGGAACGCACCCGCACCAGCTCGTTCTGCATCCAGGTCTGAAGTTCAGGAACTTCGGTGAGACGATAGGGGATCTGGAACCGCTGGAGCTCGCTGATGATCTTGGCGGTCTTCATGTGTTTGTCAAAGTTGATGACCGTCATCTCGCCGTCATCGGTGGGCAGGCTTCGCAGCGGCTGGTTCCCGTGGTCCACGAATGTCAGGTCAGTGAGGTAGGTGCCGACGAAAGGAAGGCACGGCGGAACATGGGTCTGCAGTCTCTGCCGCAGGACAGCATAGTTGCGCGACACATCGACAATGCCCCGTAGAGTCTCAAGGGTGGCCTTGGTCTTCTGCGATACCACCTCCCAGGTCCGCTTCAGACGCGAGATCATTGACGAATTTAGAGAGCAGATAATGGCCATCAAAGTGTCATAGTTGTTCAGTTCCAGGCACTTGTTAGCAATCTTGACCCACTGCTTGATGATGGCCGCCCGCTTCTTCGGTTCCTCCAGCTGCAGGATGGAATCAGCCACCAGATGGGCGAGATCGGTGGACAAAGTCGACATGGCACGGACATTGACGGCCAGTGAAGCGCTCTTCTTCATCCACTCCGTCGCCAACAGCTCCTCGGGAAGGATGGCGCAGAAGATACGTGACTCCTTGATGGTGAGTTGACGCGCCAGTTCCATAGGATCAAAGTCCAGGATGCAAATCGCAGCCTCGCCGTTCTTCCACTGTTTCAGCAGGTTCACCTCCTTCTTGCTGAGAATTGGAGGGGGAAGAGGAGTGTCCGGGTGCACATATTGTGCGGTTGCGGTGTTGGTCTTTCCCATGGACGAGATGAGACGGGGCACAACGGGTCCTTGAAGCGTCGAAACCTTGTCCGTCAGTTCCAGAAGGCGTTTTCCGGCGGAGGGAAGGGATTGCATCAAGGTAGTGCTGGCAAAGTTGACAATAAAGTCCAGAGCCGAGGTATCGCAGTCATGACGCCAGTGTGACTCAAGCCAACCCTTGAACACGTTGTACACGCGAAGACGAACGGGTCCTGCTGCATGCGCAGTATCGCCAATGTAGTCAAACCGATCAGCAAGGGCCTCAGCAAACTCCAGCGGCGTCGCAAATAGACGGAAGGTGAGGTAAAATGTCGAGACGAACATCGCGTCTGGCGTTGATCCATGAGAAGTGAGCTTCTCGATCAGCGCCCGAAGGCTGCCGCCCATGACTTGACCATCCTTGAAGATCAACTCATGTGCATAAGTCTTCTCCAGAATATTTACTTCGGTCTCCTCTCCCTCCTCTGCCAACGTCGAGTGGCTGACACAGCTCTTGAGCGACGGAGCCTGGTAGCAGCTGCCAATGTCTGGGGATGTGGCTCGGGTAGAAGTTTGAGACACTCCACTCATTTCGGAGTCACGGAGGTGGCTGTGGTAGGTGAAGCTGCTTCCAGTACTAGTCACTCCACGGCCAAAAGACTCACCGATCTCGGACTTGGGGTGGCTGATACGGTTCTCGAGTATCTTGACACCAGCGGTCGCATCATAAGACGACGAGAATGAGGCCTTCTCCAGGCTGGTGGGAGGGATGGTAGCGGATGGCAATGACGCCTCGTCGGTTGCGGCAATGGTGGGGCTGTTGAGTGTGCGGGAATTGAAAGAAGATGGAGTGGTATCATCGGTAAGACCGGGGGTGGGAGGGGAGTAGTCAAGATCTGTATTCTGGGGGAGCTGCAGGGGAGGTGGTGGAAGTCGCAGGGATGTTCCAGGTTGGTCGTCTTTCTGCTGTTGCAATCGCGACTCGGGCCCAGAACCGACTAATGGCGTCGTAACGTCTTGCAGCAGTGCTTCGAGTTCGAAATCCCCAACCTGCTCAAGCACCAGGCGAGCTTTGGCCAGACAGTTCCCTGCCGCTCGGACGCAGTCGGTGGCGGCATCGACCAGTCGCTTTCCTTCATCAGGCATGAAGACAAGCTCGTCGTCGGGGGACTGGGCGGGTCGGAAGGCGTCCCGTGCAGCGAAAACGAGCTCGGACAGTCGCTCATACATCGTATCCTTGGCGCGCTCGAGGAGTGCACTGCCTTGAGAGTCGTGTTCACAGACGGCCTCGACCACAGTGAGCA